GAGGAGAGGGGAGGGGGGGGCGGGGGGAGGAGGAGGGTGGGGGTGGGGTGGACCAGGGGAGAGGGAGGGGGGGGTCTGGCGGGACCCTAAGACACAGATACGTCCCCCCTGTTAAACTCGCCCTCCAGCAGCGCGAATGGGGGTGCAACCGCCCCCCAAGAATCGCCCCTGCAGAGGCCTCAGATGGTGAAGTGGGGTCAGGCCCTGCCCCCCCACATGGGGCAGATCAGGGGTGTGGTCAAAGGGCCCTGCACTTTGGGTAGCCTCTGCGCCCCAGGGGGAGCAGAGCTGAAGTTAGGTGTAATTGACACCTCAGGCCAGGCCCAGAATACGGGGAGCACAGAGAGGTGCAACCCGCCCTGCAGGATGGGGGACCTTGGGATCGAGCCCCACAAACTGAGCCTCAGCCCTGGACACTAGGAGCAGGTGGCTCCCGAGCCCCATGGCCCATTTGGGGAGACACCCCCCACACACACACACTTATCCCTCCCCCCACCCCAGTAAGTGCCAGGAATAACACCCCCCCTATTTACCCCACTGAACCCTGTGCCCCGGGGACTATGGCTCCAGCAAGGGGGCTGGGGCCCTATATCCCATGGGGCAGACAACGGCACCACGCAGGTGCCAGCATGGATCGAAAGGGGGCATCGGGGTGGGGACGGGGAGGAGGCCTCTCTCCCTTCCCCCAACACTGGGGGTCACCCAAGGTCATGGCTCCCCCCCCCCTCCCCCGGCAACCTCAGCAGGATTCAGACCAACCCTCACCTTGGGGTGGCATGAGGGGGCAGAGGGTGCCCCAAGGAGCTTTTGCCCCAGTCGGTCCCTGGGTTGGGGTGTCTCGGGGGGGGGGCTAAATTGGGGCCTGTCTGGGGGAGCCCCTCTGGGGCCTGACCAGATGTGGGGGGAGGGACCAGGAGAGCAGGGCTGGGGGAGCCCCAAAGTGGGGCTGAGCTGGGAGGTTGACGGGGGGGAGAGCTCCACAGAATAGGCCCAAACCCCAAGTCCTGGCTCCCAGCGCCCCCTGCTCTAACCCACTGGATCCCCATTCCCTGCCCGGTTCAGGGATAGACGAACCCAGGCGTCCGGGCTCCCAGACATGCCCCCACCCCCCAGTAGCTGTAACCCAGACCCACCCCCACCGGGGCCAGCATGAGCAGACCCACAGCAGAGAGAGACCAGCCCCCCCCGCAGGACAGCCCCACACCTGGATGTGGGGGGGGCTCACTGAGATCCCC